CCGGCATGCCCTCATGGAGAGCTTCAGCACCACGTGTGCAGTGTGCAATGCACTGGGCATGGGTGTGTGCCTGATGCAACTCTGCAGGGCCCTGGGGAGCACACATCGCCCTCCTCAGCACAGCTGTGACTACCTCAACCACAGTGAGGATGGCTAGGCTCGGTGGCGAGCGCTGGCCTAGTGTGTGCCAGGCCTGGGGCCCGCCCAGCACCCAGAGAAGGGTTTTCCTGCAGGGCTCCGAGCCGGCCCCATGTGCTGCCCAGGCCTCCTTCTGCCTCACTGACCAAAGCATGGAATGGTGTGTGACCCGGGCGTGTACAGCTCTGTGGGTGTGTAGTGCCCACATGTGCACCGACGCCATGCAAGTAAATATCTGTACAGTGCATCTGTGTGCATCTTCAGGGGCACAGAGGACACAGGAGCCGTGCGGGACCAGCCCTGCGATCCAGGGCAGGGTGTAGAGTGAGGTCGCCCATCTCAGGAGTGGGCAGGCAGAGCTGGCGGGAGTGACGCACATGCACACCACGGGGCCTACCGCACACGTAGGCTTTGAGAACGCACAGTGTGCGCGCATGTGAGCATAGCAGGCAGTGTGCACACGAAGCCGTGTGTGTTCACGGGCATGTGGTGAGGAGCACACGTGTGCTTGTGTGAGTCTGCACGTGTAGTGTGTGTGCAGGCCGGGCACCCAACAGCGTCACTATGTGTGCATCCCGTGAGGAGGGCTGTGCCCCAGACCCCCACCCTAGGCCGGCCCTGGTCCAGAGCCCCAGCTTCAGGGAGGCGCTGGGGGGGCCTGTCAGGCCCTCAGCGAGTGGGGGGCGCCCCTGCCTGCAGCGATGGAGCCCCGGCTCCCCCACCAGGGCTGCCAAAATACAGAGAGACAGGGTGTAATTACCGGCACTTACCGCGGCCATTACCCCCTCGTCGGCGCGCGTGACACACGACCCGTCAGCTTGGCATTCACACCATTAAGGGGCCTCATTAGCATCCCGGCTCAGAAGCAAAATTACCCTCACTGCTCATTTCAAGATGTCATCAATTTTAATTTAGGGCCCAAAGATAGTACAATGGGAAGGCCCTGCCTGAGGCCGTGGCACACAGAGAGCAGGGGGTGGGGAGGCCAGGCGAGTGCAAGAGGAACAGAGGTAGCAGGGGGAGAGGAGGGAGTGCCCAGCCCGAGGACGCTTAACCCCAGCACCCTGGAGGTCCATATGGCCATCCCCCTTTCAGATGAGGAAACTGAGGCAGCGGGGCTCTGGCACACAGCAAGCCCACATTAAGGGCAGGGCTGGCTGGCTTCGCTGCTCTCTGCTTTCCTGGACCCAGAGCCCTGGCCCTGGGGAAGGAAGGGTCTCCTGCACGCCCGGCCTTGCACACCAAGACCCAGCTGAACAAGCCCTCCAGGCTCGGGCCAGCCCGAAGTGGGTGCTTCCAGACTGGCCAGCGCTGCTACCCTCAGGTTGAAGACTCTGTCCCAGCTCAAAGTGACCCCAGAAGGCTCCCACCCTTCCTCTCACTGTTCAAAAGAGCAGCTTCTGCTACAGTGGGGCTGTACAGGGCTTGAGTTGGCCATTTCAGTCTGTCTCCAAGAGCAAAAGAGTGAGCGTGCCATGCATGTTTGTTGAATGACTGCATGACCGAGTACATAAACAAATGAGCTGCGCCCGGTCCCTCCAGGAACAGAAACCCTGGTTAGTTAGTCATCCCCGGGCTTTGCAGCTGCTGGCACATCAATATGCCTGGCTGGAGCAGAGCCTGGCACACCCCACACCCTCACCCTGACAGTGGAGTCTCACTGGCCTCTGGCCAGGAGGAGTTTTCAGACTTGGGGGCAGGGGGTGCCCCTGCTCCAGCAGTGGGTTGGATGGTCCTCGTCATCTCAGTGTTTGCAGCCAGCCCAGCCAGTCTGTCCTAACTCACAGTGGGCCTCAGTTTCTCCCGGGTAAAGGAGGAGGCCTGTGTCGGGCAGCAGGAAGAAGGCCAGGCCTGGGGCACAGGCTGAGCAAGAGGGCACTGCCAACCACTGAGCCCCCTCAGCCTCCTGTCCAGTCCCCCAGCCCCAGGCAAGGGGAGAGGGGACCCCATGCTGAGGCCGGGACAAGGGACAGGCACGACAGGCATCACTCGGCCTCACCAAAGACGGATCGCTCCCTTAATCACTCTGGAAAAGAACCCCAAGCCGATATAATATTATAATTAATTAATTCACTAAAAAGGTATTAAATTTCTCTCCCCCCTGTGGATATTATCTGAATTCATTGACCTTTAGAAAAATCACGCTCTAATTGTAACCAGGTCCAAAAGCATTCGCAGCCCGTCCCTTTTACATTAATAATATCTTCCCAGACTCGGCTCTGGCTGCTTAAATATTGTATAAATTCCACTGGCCCTGTGGAACGGAGAGAGCAAAGAAAGCAGACGGGGCTGGAGAAGCCGAGAAGGGGTCTTGGGAGGGGGCAGGGGCTTCGCGGGCTCTGAGCTGCCTGTGACCCGCAGGTGGCCGGGGAGGATTGGGGGACAGGGTGTTGGGTTGGGGTTGGCTCTCAGGGCTGGTGTGTGGAGAGAGGCCCCGTGTGCGTTAATGGCCCCAAATAATAAAGGAAGAATCTGATTTTAAAGAACCCTGAGACAGAGAGAGAGAGAGAGAGGGAGAGAGAGACTGAGAGAGGGAGAGAGACAGGGAGAGAGAGAGAGAGGGAGGGAGGGAGAGGAAAGGGATGGAAAAAGAACTAAGATGTGCGAGGTAGGCGTACCAACTCCTGCAATGAATGCAGGAACTATATACTGCAAACACGGACTAATAAAAATCAAAAAAATTTCTATCTCAAAAATGAACAAAAAAAGAAAAGAACCAGGGTGGTGGAAACCAGCGGAGTTCCAAGCAGGGCCTTCTGAGGTCTCCTGCGCCCGTGGGGCAGAGGCAGGGGGACCAGAGCCCCTGCCAGGAGGTGGGCCCAAGGTGTGCGGACAGAAGGACAGACACAGGGCCCAGAGCTGAGGACAGTGCAGCCGAGGGCCAGGACACGGGCTGTGTCCTCCACTTCCCCCCCAGGGCCCTGGCTCCCACACTGGGGCCCACATGGGCCTGGCCTGCCCCATCTAGGCTGGACCCTTGGACCCATCCCAATCCGCCCACTCCTACCTCGTGCCTCAGTCTGTCCTGGGGGCTGCGGGAGAGGTTTCCTCACAGAAAGAAGGGGCCCAGCAGGACCCCCTGCTTCTCAGCCCGCCTCCCCACTCTACCTTTTTAAAAGGAATTCTCAGCTGGACGGGTGGTGGATGCCTGTAATTCCAGGACTCTGGGAGGCTGAGGCAGGAGGATTGCCAGTTGGAGGCCAGGTTGGGGAATTTATCACGACTGTCTCAAAATAAAAAATACAAGAGGTCTGGAAGTGCAGTTCAGTATGAAGGCCCTGGGTTCAATCCCCTGTGCAAGAAAGAAAGAAAAGGGGAAGGAGAGAGGGAGGAAGGAAGAAAGGAAGGAAGGGAGGGAGGGAGGGAGGGAGGGAGGAAGGGAGGGAGGGAGGTAAGGAAGTCTCCCTGTGGATCTGTCTAGAAAGGCGCTGCCCCCAAAGCACAGCAAGGCTGAGGATGGGTCCCCCATTATAATGACTTCTCTCCAGCCAGGTGAGGGTCATGCAGCCAGCCACCAACACACCTCTGGTCCCAAATGTTAGGAGCCCCAGGGCCGTCCTGGCCCTGAAGGACAGGACCCAGGACCCAAAGGGTGGACACCACCAGGCTCAGCCAAAGATTCCGGGAAGCCGCCCCTCCACCCCTCCAGCCATCCTGGCCCTGGTCCGGGGCGCCCTCTTGTGGACAGGACTCTACTCATACCCTGCCTTGAGGCCACTGCAGATCCCACTGAGGACCAGAAAGCCAGTGGGCGAGTTGGGGGAATAGAGGCCTTGGGGAACCCCGGGGTGAAGAAGCCCCGCACGACAGGGAGAGATCTCAGCGTAGCTGGAAGACCCCACCCTCCAGGGCTGGGGGCCCAGCCCAGACCCAGGGCTGATCAGTGGGCAGGGGGTGGGGCCTGCAGCCGGAAGGAGGAGCTGCTCCCGTGCTGGCTCCGCGCCTGCAAGGTCATCCACGACTCCCTCTGACCTTGAGACTAATCCTGAGTCCTTGCCAGCCCGGCCGCTCTGGCGCCCACCCCCAGCCCCGTTCCTCCTCTCCCCTCGCTTGTTAATTGCTCCGCGTTTGATTTGATCTCTCGCGCTGCACGGAGGAAATTGCCCTCTTAGCCATTTTCATCTGGGCTTTTTTTCTTTTTAAAATTAGGCTCCTTCGGCCTCCCAGGGCCCTGTGAGATGAAGCCATTTTGGAGGAAGTCAGGGGGAAGAGGTGAAGTCCGAAAGCCCCCTTCCTCTGTCCTCCTGGGGCTCAGGTGGCCCTGGGGGACCCTTCCCTGCCCCAAGGTCGTGTCCCTATCCTGGGTGAGGTCCTGTCCCCCTATGACCGAGCAAAGGCTCCCGGCAGATGACGCTCAGTGAGGGGCCCAGAGGCAGAGCCTGAGGCCTCGCCCCAGACAGAGCCACATCAGTCACCTGTGTCCCGTGCTCTCCCTTCCCCACACAGGTGCCAGGACATCTCTCCTGCTGGAGGCCACATCACAGCAGAGGGGCCACCAGAAGGAGCTGGAGAGGCCGCTCTGGGACAGGGGCAGCTGGCGAGGTGTCCCAGAGAGGCCGCAAGGGATGACAGCAGGCCTGGCTCAGGGGCAAGGCAGTCCCTGCATCCTCCAGCCTGCAGGGCTCAGAGCACAGCGGGAGGTGCGAGACCGGCGTGGCAGCAGCGCCACCTGGTGGCCGCGAGGGGGATGGCGCCCCCATCGACACCCACGTCTGTCGCTAAAGCTGCTTCTCCTGCTAAGGCGCTGTGGTGTTGTGGGGGTGCTTGTCCCCTGCTCTGTCCCCCAGCACTTCAGGGAGCACCCGAAGTCTGAATCCCTGTCATCTGCCCTAGGCCGGCGCCAAAGAGACAGGACCAGAAGATACAAAGCACAGTGTTTACTAAAGGCACACTTGAAGGGGTCCGGAGGGAGGCAGCTGCTCTGCCGCAGTGGCCCCGCTCGGCCCCGGACCTAGGCCTCTCTTCCGGCCACACCACCCTCACCGCGCGGGGAGAGCTGTTAGCACCAAAGGCAGGTGGGTTTCCACCTGCGGGGTGACCGGGCGGGCACCGCTTATGGCCGGGGAGCCCCAGAAAGCGAGCCTGGGTGCCCCGGCAGATGCCGCTTCAAAGAGCTCCCCGAACCCCCTGCTGCCCAACACCCTGCAGCCCGGGTGGGGAGAGGGCTCTTCCTACCCAGGCCGCTGTCTCCGCCCCGCTCCTCCAGCCCGGCAACGGGGCTGCCCCTGGGGGCGCTGTCTCAGGGCCCCACAGCCCGCTGGCCGTGCACCGAGTCCAAACGGGGCCACGGGGGAGCGGGTCGGGTCGGGCGGGCGGGTGGCTGCTTCACACCCAAGTGTGGCCTGGAGGGGGGAGGCCGTGGCCCCGTCCCCAGCGCAGGCCCCGGGTGTCACAGCACATCGCCCTCCTCCATGCTGAAGCTGCTGCGCCGGCTGCTGGCCTTGGAGGCCTCGGGGGACATGGTGGAGAACAGGGGGTCGGAGGCCAGCGGCAGCAGGGAGTCGTCTAGGAGCATGAGGTCCAGATCCCTCTTGGACAGGTCAGGGAAGCCGGGCTCAGGGTGGCCTGCAGGGCCCTCCTCAGCCCTGTCCCCAAAGCTCAGGCTGTGGCTGAAGTCCAGGTGATGGAATGGGGACAGGGGCTCGGCGGGCGGGGGCGGTGGAGCCTGGGGAGGCAGCGCTGCCAGTGATTCGGGGTCGGGGACCTCGGGCCCCAGCATCAGCGTCTCCCCCGGGGCCTCCTCACTGGGCAGCTCCTGCTTCACCACCTGCTGGGCCAGCTCAGCCATGTTCACGCCCGATGGCGAGGTGGTGGGCAACCCGTGCACCCTCGCCTGCATCTCCAACTCCTGTAGGGCAGGAGACAGAGCACTGGGCCCAGCTGCCAGGCGGCCCCTCCCCCGGAGACACCCAGGACAGCCCCTCCAGCGTCTAGACCGGGGCTGCTTTAAATTGCAAGTTGCAATTCATTAGCAGGTTGAGAAACCTCGTAGGTCTTGGGCCTTGACTGGCTCTCCACTTTTCAAATTGAAATAGACTTGTCTAGACTGGACCAGAATAGAAATGATCGCAATGCTCTGCCTCTATTAAGGATGGCTTTCCTTTCATGAAACTTTGATTTCTCCCTTGGAGCAGTGACGGTGTGTGCTGGGTCTTAATGGGAACTGTATCACCTCCCGTGAGAAACCAAAGTTGGAGAGCTTCGGTCCAGTGCCCTCAGCATAGAGGACCAGCCTGGGGCCCAGAGGGATGAGAAGCCCTAGGTGCACAGCCGGGACTAGAATTCATGGCTCCAGCGGGTGGGGCTGACACTCGGGAGCCTTGGTGCTTTCTAGTCGGTTGCAGGCACAGTAGGCCTGCACCTTCCTGCCCAAGGTTGGGTATGAGGGCCAAGCACTAGTGACCCGGGAACCTCCAGGGGGACAGGTGGCAGTGAGAGCCAGCTCCAGCTGTGCCAGGGCCTAGAACCGACTCTGCAGCTCAAAGCTCTGGGGAACCATCTGCCCCCAAAGCCTCCCTCCTCTCCAAGGCCCTGCCCCAGGTTGGGACCGCGCAGCCACCCAGGAAGCCAGCCAGCCGCAGGGCCCACCTGGATGCGCAGCCAGAGCTGCTTGTTGGTCATCTCCAGGCGCCGTGAGTGGCTCTCCAGCTCCCGGGACTTCTGCAGGTCCTTCTGCATCCTCCGGATGTAGTCCACGGACGCCTTGAGTATGGTGCCCTTGTTCCAGCGCACATCCCTGCGGCCGGGCCAGGCCATCAGAAGTGCCACTTCCCGGCCCCGTGCTCCAACCCTCTCCACCCTCCCCTCCACTGGGTCCCCTCCACCCCAGCCTGGCCCAGCGGTCTGGCACTCTCCCAAGTGGGAAGCAGCTGGAAGGCTTCTCCCCCGGTACCCTCCCTGCCCCAGGCCCCCAGCCCCACCCCAGCCCCACTCACAGGTCGTTGGCCTTGGGGATCAGCATTCCTAACTCCTTGATGCGGTCATTGATGTTGAACCTACGCCTCCTTTCAACTACAGGTGGCAGATTCCAGAGGCAGCAGTTAGAGGGTGGGAACCCTGCCTGGGGCAGCCCCAGCCCAGGGAGAGAAAGGGGTGCCCAGCAGGCTGGGACTCGCAAGGGTCTGGGGCTCAGGGCTCAGGACAGCCACAGTGAGGGGCCTGTGAGCAGCAGCAGTCCCTGCAGGCTGCCAGCCCAGCCCTCTGCCTGGGGTGAACTCCTACTCCTCCCTCAACAGCCCCAGGGTCCTTGCCCTGAAGGTCATCCCTGGATAATTGGGATTTCAGGAACAGCCCTTCCCAGCAGCCTCCCACCCCCTTCTAAAAAGGACCAGGGGAAAATGTCAGGATGGGGTCCTTCTTCAGGGAGGGCAGACAGGCTGTGAGGAGCTAGGGAAGGCCCCGGCTGCAGCAGGTACAGGTGACAGCGAGGGAGGGTGGGCAGGACTCACTGAGGTTGTGATTGTCCTTCTTCTGCCGCTCCTTGGCCAGCGCCCGGCTCTCAGCATCTGAGGCCAAGGGAGAAAAGAGCTGTGGAACTGTAGGGCAGAGGCGGTGGGACCTGGGGCTGGGGGCGGGGGAGGCAGTACCTGTGAGTTCCTGCTTCTGGGTCAGGTCCGCAGGGCAGGAGCTGCTGGTGACGCCCACCAGCGAGGCTGTGACCTGGGGGTCGCTGCTGTACACATTCAGGTGGCTGCTGGACAGGGGCAGCTGTGGGGCGGAGTGAGGGGGGCCTCCGTGAGCCATGGGGCACCCCCCAGGCCCAGTGTCTCTGGAGCTGCTGCCAGGAAGCCCAGGGCCCCTTCCCCGGAAGTGCAGCCTGGAAGCTGAAGAGCAGCCCTGCCCTCCACCCAGACGAAGGAGGGGCCGCTGGGCCAGGAGTTTCCAGGTTTCCTGGAGGGTGTGGAGCCCCACTGAGTCCTGAGCAGGAGGAGGGAAAGCAGGGGCAGCACGGGTAGGAGCAGCCACGTGCGGGTGCCAGCAGCTCCAGGCCAAGGGGCCGGGGTGAGGGGTGAGGCAGGGACGAGCTGTAGTCTGTCTTTGTTTTTGCTTTTTTGAGACAGGGTCTTGCTATGCGTCCAGGCTGGCCTTGAACTTGCTTCGATCCTCCTGCCTCAGCCTCCCGAGTGCTGGGATTACAGGGTGTTGAGAATACAGGCATGCGCCATCACGCCTGGTTTGTGTTTTTTGTTTTGTTTTGTTTTGTTTTGTGGTACTAGGGATGGAACCCAGGGCCTTTACACTGAGCTACATCCCCAGGTCGTTCAAAAAATGTTTTATTTTGAGATAGGCTCTAGCTAAGATGCTAAGCTGGCCCAGCCTGGACTCGAGTGTGTGATCCTCCTACCTCAGCCTCTCAGAGTGCAGGGATGGCGGGCATGCACCACTGTAGCAGGGGATTGCGGAGGGCAGCCACCAAAGGTGAAAGCAGAGACATATCTGGGCTCTGGAAAGCCCTCCCCCTCTCCAGCCACAGAGGCAGATCCCGGGCAGGGACACCCGACAGTGTCCACAGGCAGAGCTGCTGCTGCGGCCAGACCCCGGCACCCTCCTCCTCTCTCTGCCTGCCAGCTGCAGCTCTGGCCCCAGCCCATCCTGGCCAGCTCTCGCTGAGCCTTGGTGCAGTCACCAGGGCTGCGGGGCCCAGGCGCTGCTTCCTGAGCTCCTCACTCCCCAACTCTAGCCTTCACCTCAGCTGCAAGGCCAGGCAGATGAGGCCGTAAAAGGCCCCAGCTGGAGGGGCTGGACCTCCCCCAAAGCTTTGGTTTCTCCTCCTCTGATCACCCCACGACCCTCTGGGTGGACATCGCCTCCATTTGCACGGAGGACACTGGAGTCCCTTGATCCCAAGCCCAGCTCCTCCCCACCCGCCACCTACCCTGCCTGGGGGACCCCGAGCCATCACACAGCCAGGATGCTGTGAAGGAGGGAGGGGTCCTGGGTATAGCGAGGGACGCAGGCCCTTGGTCTCTGGGACCTGACTTGGGGTGCAGAGCCCTAGATCGGCACCAGGACTTCCTGCGGACACACTGCACCCCAGAAGGCTCCCCAAAGCCTCCTGACATCGCTGGCCTCAGTCTGGCTACCCTGCTCCCCATCAGGCACACAGAGCGGCCCCAGAGGGAGGTGACCCTGACCTCCACCGACAGATGCCAGCTGGGCCCCAGTGAGGCCCCTGCACCCACTGCCCGCCCCCCGACCCAGGGATACCGTGTTGGGCATCTGTAGCTCGGGGTTCATGTAGCCCAGCACGTTGTCCAGGCGCATGATGTTGTCAATGACATCGTCAAACTGGAAAAGAGGAAAGGCCATCTGGGGGACCCGGGGCAGGACAGAGACAGGGCGCAGAGACAGCCACTGGCCTGGAGGGCCTGGAGCCACCTTGCCCAACCTGCTCTCCTGCAGGAGGACCCCAAGTGCCACTGCGACCCCAAGGCCAGCCCTTGCCTAGGAGCCGACCTGCCCAAGAGGCCTGAGTACACCCCATGCCTAGGCTTGGTGGCCACAGGGTCTCCGATTTGGCTCCCATGTGGCCTTAGCAGGGATTTCAACAGTAAGGAGCTGTGTCCCCTCGGACTGGGCTCCCCGAGGCTGTGTTCCCCCACACTCAGCTCCGGGGTTCCCTTCTCCTCTGCCCCAGCCCCACCTGTCCCACTGCTCACCTCCTTCTCGGGGTTGGACCCAATGTGCAGCATGGCCATCGGGCTGTTGGGCGTGCTGTTGCCTGCCGAGGTGGACAGCACATGCCCAGCGCACACCCCAGGGGAGGCGGCGGGCGGGGGCTTGGGGGAGCCCTGGGCCGGGCTGACGCGGGCAGCAAACTTGTTCCCGTAGGTCTCAGACAGGTACTCGCGCACCTTCTGGTGCTGGGACTGCTGCAGGTGGTAGGAGGTGGGGTTCTCCAGGTAGGACTGCACCTGGGGGAGGCGACAGCTGCAGCAGGGGCCGGGCGCACGGGGACCTGGGGGTGGGGGCCTGGGACACAGGGGTGCGGCCCTACCTTGAGCACCTCGCCGGGCACAGGCGGCGGTGGCTGGAAGGGCACCGGGGTGCTGATGGCGGGTGAGGGTGGCGTCCCGAGCTGCTGCTGCTGCAGGAACTGCACCACGGCTGCCTGCTGCCGCCGCTCCCGCTGCTCCTCCTGCTGCGCCTGCTCCCGCATAAGCTGCATGCGCAGCCCGATGCGCGACGCCATGGTGGCCACCGGCTCCCTGAGGGCACAGGGACAGCGTCCGGTGAGGCACTGCGCCCCCTCACAGTCCCCCTGGGCCAGGAGCTGGTAGGCGTGCAGGGGCTCCCATGGTGCTGGAGGGGACACAGAACCTTCGGAGGGGAAGGGACTGGTCCACAGCCATGGGGCCAGCTGGCTGCTGAGCTGGGCCATGCTCCTGGCCACTCGGCACCGAGGCCTGAGCAGACGCTGGCTGCTCTGCACGGGCCGCACTCGGTCGGTCCCGGTGTCAGCCTTGACTCCTCGGGTCTTTCCCTACCCTGGGAGCTCTGGCCCGCCCAGGACCCCAGGGCGCGGTGGGCGTGGCCACACCACCTTCCCCAAGCCCGAACAGCTCCCTTCCCACAGCTCGGTGACGCCACAGATCCTGTCCAAACCCAAGTCAGCTCCTGCCTCGCTCTCTGCCCAGAACCCTCCGTGGCTCCCACTTCCCCCAGCATCATCACTGAAGTCCTGGCCATGGTCACAACAGCCCTCTGGGATCACTCATGGCCCATGCTTCCCCCTGGTCACCACTTGGTTCCCTCCACCATCCCAGTGGCCCAGGCCTGTTCCCACCGTGGGCCCCTGCCCTTGCTGCCCCCGAGGCGGGAATGCTCTCTCCCTGATATCATCTCAGCTCCCTCCTTCACCTCCTCAAGGTGCAAATGTCACCTCACCACACCGGCCGCCTCCGCCTCCCAGCACCCCACACTCCCTCGGCCCTCCCCTCCGGTTTGCCCCATTATCACTCACTGCCATCTTAAATGCTATGCATTTCGCAGTTGTCCCCTGCACTGTCCTCTCCAGGAGGAATGCACATATCCCAGGGGCAGGCATGCCGACTGTTTACTGCTGTACCTGCGGCCTCTAGCCCACAGCCCAGGACAGAGACGCTAGGCCCCTGTATGGAGAGAACACACCCCCTGTATCGGCCAGGAACTGGGGACCCAAGTGTCGAAAGTGTCGCCCCACCTCACAGCACCCAGGGCCCAGTAAGCAAGGCAGGGCCAGCGGCAATGAGGAGCCTGCACACAGGCAGCCACTGCGGGCCACCAGGGCCAGCACCACCTCCCCCACCCAGCTCAGCCCCATTTCCTGTGGGGCACGGGTGACAGAGGCCCCCAAGCCTGGCTGGGAGGCAGGAGGGCAGGGAGGATGGTCCCTCAGCTGTTGCTGCTCACAGTGACCCTGGACAAATCCCTGCCCCTCGAGGAGCCTCCAGGGCCCCATGCACAAAACACAGGACCTGGGCACAGGGTCCTGGAGCCCCACTCCATTAGGATGGGCTGAGAGAGGTGCAGGGTCCCTGGGTGGAGGGGCCAGAGGGTCCTCGTCCTGGGGATTCCACAAGGGGCAGTGTGACCTCGTGGTTGAGCAAGGCCTTTCTTTTTTGTTGTTGTTTGTTGAGACAGGGTCTGGCTATATAGTTCAGGCTGCCCTTGAACTCACTGTGTAGCCCAGGCTGGCCTTGAACTTACGGTGATCCTCCTGCCTCGGCTTCCCGAGTGCTGGGTTTACAGGCGTGCGCCACCATGCCCGGCATGAGCAAGGGCTTTCCAACAGGGCAGATGTGGGTTTGAACCCTGGGTCTGTCATTTCTTTGCTGTGTGACCTTGAGCAAGTCACTTAACCTCTCTGAACCCGTCTCCTCTCCTAAAAACAATTTCTACTTACGAAGATAAGAATCAAGTAACAATAATGTCCCCATGGTGGGGGGCTCTGGGCTGCTTCGTGGGTGACACTCAAATAAGCACCAGCCTGCCCGCAGGGGAGCCAGGCTGTGGAGACTGGCAGCCAGCACCACATGCTAGGGTCCCCAGACCTCGGCACTAAGGGCAGCAGTGGTGCAGGCGTGGATTTATTTGAACATCTACCGTGCTTTGGGCATGGTGTCCAGGACTTGCACATCTGAAGCCCTGTGGAGAGCTGGGTGTGGAGGTGGACACCTGTAATCCCAGCACTCAGGAAGCTGAGGCAGGAGCATTGCAGAGAGTTCGAGGCCAGCCTGGGAAACATAGCAAGACTCTGCCTCAAAAAGCCAAAACAAAAAAGTGCCCTGTGAAGTCTTTGGGCTGCTCCCCTTCCTTCACAGGAAGAAACAGGGCACAAGGAGGAGCAGAGCCTGCAGTGGCCACCCGCCCCTGCCCTGCACCACACAGAGGGGCACCCTGTCTGCACACCCCACTGTCACGGCAGCTGCAGCGCCGGCCCTTGCCAGACAGGCTGGCTTCGGTTGGCCTGGTGGGGGCTGCGGGCCTGGCCGTGCCAGCCGGCTGGGCCGGGCCAGGGAGAAGGATGCCCTTGTTTCCCAGACAAAGGCCTGGGCGCCTCATTGGGTTTCCTTGGACTGTCCCTGTCCTGAGCCCCCGCCTGCCGGGGTCTGTGCATCTCCGTGCCCATCCTCTGATGGCAGCTGACAGGGCAGGGGGACCCTTGCCCAATCCCCTGGTGCCTGCCCAGCGGCCATGCCCCAAAGCAAGTGCCATCCTTCTTCCGGCCCAGTCCCCAGCCTGGGCTGCAGTGCATGGAATGCAATGCATGTAGGGCAAAGGCTGGGACTCAGGGGGCCTGGGCCAGACAGCATGGTCTACAGGAGCCCCAGGCAGGTGAACTCCCTTAGTCCATCTGCTCATTCCCTAAGCCCAAATCTGGTGCTCCAAGCCAGGAGAGTGACCACCGAGTGCACTCAGGGCCCACTGCCTGCGACACCAAGGCAGACGTCTCCTCCCAACAGGAAGGGGTCTGTCCATCCTCCCAGGGCCACGGCAAGGAGACACAGTGGCTGCTGGAACTCGCCTGCCTTCAGACACTCACTAAGGGATGGTTCTGGTCTCCTCTGGTCAGGGTCGGAGCTGGTTTCCCCACCCTGTGTGTGCTGTTCCCCATCAGTCAATCACACCTTAGTATGAACAAGCTGGCCAGACCCTTCCCTAAGTGAATGGAGGGGTAGGGGAGACAAGGAGGAATCACCGGACTGCAGAGAGGAGAAAGAGGACTCCAGAACAGGAAAGACTCAGCCAGAAGAAGACATGAAAGACACAGTGAGAAGTGGAGAGAGCAACTGCAGAATGAAACACACAGCCCGGGCCCATTTCGGCAGAACACAGGTTCGCATGTGGAGAGGATCAGGACCCTGGGGCCATGGATCACTGCTTCCCTCAGGGCTTTTCAAGCACTGATTCACTCATCCTCCACCTCAGCCCTATGAGAGAGGATGCACGTTGCCGGTTTCCAGGTGGCAAGCTAAGGCACAAAGACCTGAGGTGACTTGCGCCGGAGGCTTCACTGACAGGAGCAGCGTGAAGGTTCGGCCCAGGAGGCCCAGCTACAGCCCGCTCCTGCTCACTCTCTGGGCTCCCCCGCACCTCCCAGTGTCCACCCTGCAACTGGGTGACCTTGAATATCTTACCTTCTACTTGGGAAGAACCTAACTCTTCCGACATCAATGTGTGCGATTTGTGTCTTGTTTATTTTTCCAGTACTGGGGATTGAACCTAGGGCCTGCTCTCTGAGCTATATTCCTGGCACATGTGCTCTCTCTCTCTCGCTCTCTCTCTCTCTCTTTTTGTTGTGACAGAGTCTCGCTAAGCCGCCCAGACTGGGCTCAAACTTACAATCCTCCTGCCTCAGCCTCCCAGAGGGCTGGGATCACAGATTCGAACCTGGGTCGGAAGGTGACTCTGGAGGGGAAGGGACTCCAGCTCTCCTGCCTGGCCCCACCCTGCCTGCTCAGCATCATGGTCGCCAGGCCTGCCAAGGACGCTGGGTGAGGACACAGCGCAGCTACTGAGTGGGTCAGCAACCTGGCACCACAGGAAGTGGAAGGCCAGGACCCTTTGGGGGGCACAGCTCAGTGCTCATGGCCGGTGGGGCCTGAGCCTTCCAGGTAGGTGACCCTGTTGGGGTGGGAGCAGAAAGCCAAGCACAGCCGCTTTGCAACCCAGAGCCCACACCTGCCCAGAGATGGGCCCAGTGGAGACGCCTCACACATTCACCACCAGGCATCCAGGAGACGGGTCCCGGAAGGCAGCGCCTTGGACAAGAGCCCGGACCGGAAACCACCCAAATGGCCCGGGAAGAGAGCTGGAGAAGCGGCCAGGATGGAATGCGACTCGGCCAGAGCGCAGCCAGCTGCAGCTGCAGCCGGCAGGGGGGGAGGGGGCGCTCGCAGACGGGGTGTTGGGACAGAAGCCAGACGCAGAGGTGCAAGCACTGTCCACGAACAGGCGACTCAGAAACAGGCCAAACAAACACACTGTGTGAGTAGTCAGGACCCAGCAAGCCCTGAGGGCAGCCTGGGAGGGACACAGGCGGGCGGTGGGCTGGGAGCCTGGGGACGCTCTTCTATCTGTGCAGGTGTTGGTGAGGCAAGATTGCCTTGTTTATGGCCCTTCCCACAGCTGCTCACTCACTGTGTTTTCTTTTTGTTTGTTTTGTTTTGTTGTTGTTTTGGGTTTTGTTTGTTTGTTCGGGTCTCCCTGTGTAGTTCCAGCTGGCCCTGAACTCACCATGTAACCCAGGTTGGCCTTGAGCTCAAGGCGATCCTCCTGCCTCAGCTACCCCAGTGCTGGGATTATAGAAATGCACCGCCACACCTGGCCATCTTTTCTTTTTTTAAAAGAAAAGAATAACGTAAGAGAGGAGAGGAAGGGGGAGGGGATATAAAAAGAATAAAGATGTGTTATGCACAGGTACCAACCCTCCACAGGGAATGTGATCATTAATGTTCTGCAAACATGGACTGAAAAACATAAAAAAAAATTTTCAAAAATCACATAAGATACCAAATAGTTTCTCTGGTGTGAGAAACTAAAAGTGTAAATGAGGATCAAAAGGTATAATTGATAATGTGAAATAGGAAGAAAAGGTCTAAAGGGGAAGGGGAAGGGGAATCGGGAGGGGTAGGGGAAAGGAAAGAAAGGAAAGGAAAAAATATGAGAAAAGGAAAAAATAGAAACAAAGTCTCTGTAAATAGGGAGGGGTGGAGGGGGTGAAGGG